ATGGGGTGAGGGGCTTATAAGTATACTCGCTAAGTCTCGATGACCCTTGAAGTAGGAAGAAATTTGGCATTGCACATGATTAAGGGCTTGGCTTTTGGGATATTCTATTAAGGATTTAGACTCTAGGCTTTGCCTTCGCGTCTAGGCCCCTAAACCCTAAACCCTAAACCCTACGGCTTGGAGTTTCTGGCTTGGGAGCTCAGGGTAACTTAGAATTTAGGGATGGCAAGCCCATCTCCATGCCCAACTAGCGGTTTGTTTAGGGTTTAGGGTTTAGGGTTTAGGCTTTAGGCTTGCTGTTGTCCAATACCATAATTTCAATGGTATTTGGGCCCTAACACCCTATTATGTTGGTCCTTGGACCCTTGGGGACTTGTATGAGTTATAGTCTAAACTACTTAAATTGTCGGGGTTATATAGGGTATTATATGGGCCCTTTTTCTGTGTCATCGTCTAAACGCCTTACACTAGGGGTATACAAAGGGGGATACTAGGAGTTTAGACTCTAGCTCATATGAGTTATTGTCTAAACTCCTTAAGGCTTCAAGTGGGAGGGCGGGGGGTTATGTTGGTTTTAGGGTCCTTAGCTGTAGAATTGTCAGGCAGGAGTGGCCTCCGAGGGTTACGGCCGTAAAACCTACAAACTAAATTAACCCTGAGGGTCCAAGGACCCAAATAATAGGGTTTTAGGGCCCAAATACCATGAAGATTCTTAATATTAAGATATTTGGGCCCTAAAGCCCTATTATTAGCCTCCTTGGACCCTTACTGTAGGCTAACTTCATGTGGAAGGGACTGTCCCTATTATTAGGGTTTAGGGTTTAGGATTTAGAGTTTAGGATTTATGTCTTAGGGCTTAGGACTTAGGATATATGGTTTAGGATTTACGGTTTAGGGTTTAGGATTTAGGATTTATGGTTTAGGATTTAGGGTGTAGGTTCTAGTGCCATTAGCAAATACCACACTCATGCCGCGTGTCCCAGCGTGAACTGTCAAACATAATGCAGTGCCCTTTATGAAGGGAAACCCAACCCTAAGTCCTGGATCCTAAACCCTAAGCCCAATAGACATGAACCCTAAACTCTACGTCTCATAAACCCCAAACCCTGTAAACCCTAAATCCTATAAACGCAGAACTCTAAATCCCAAATCCGAAACCGTATGAACCCTACACTATCTTAACCCCAAATCCTGTAGACCCTAAATTCTATAAACCCACAAGTCTAAATCCGAAGAAAAAAAAACGACCCCGAGAAACCGAAAAACCCAAAGTTCACAAACCCCACAGCATGTAAACCCTAAATCCAGAACTCTATTCCTAAACCCAAGCCCTACAAACCCTGAACCCTATGAACCCCAAATCCTGCATACCCTACAAGGCTATAAACCCCAAACTCTCAGCCCTAAACCCTAATTCTTGAACACACAACCCCACACCCCATCCTTTCGATGGCCCACTTCCTTTGGAGGCTTTGGCCTGCCATAATTGTGTTGAGGCCCATGTGATCTACAATCACTTTACTTCCCCACCCTAGACCCTAAACCCTACAATTTCCCCACCCTAAACCCTAAACCCTTTATTTCCCCACCCTAAACCCTAAACCGCGTGGACATGCAAGTAGGCTTCGGCCCCTCACCCCAATCTCCAAACCCTACTTGGAGAGTCAGAGGGGCTTAGTAGGTATACTTATATGCCCCGTTAGCTAGATGAGCTACAATCAATCTTTTTACCCATACAATTAAAGGACATGGCTTCCTTATGAGTAAGGAATTCAGGATTTCGGGCATTTGGTTTAGGGTTATAGGGATTAGGGTTCAGGGTTTGGAGTTTGAGTTTGGGTTCAGGGAGATATGCTACGCAGGCAGTTGTATACAGAGCCCAAGTACTGGAGAGTCAACAAAGGACAACGCCATGGACACTGGGGTGATTTAGTGCCTTGAATGCAGGGGTTCACATGCCAATGAGACCCCTACACCCTGCAGCCTTTTGGGTACCTAACTTTATGTCGAGTATGCTACATAAGGAAGACTACGTACGAGATTAATAGGTACGCTAAGAAGGGGTAGGGTACAGCGGTCGTGGTAGAGTTATATGCGTTTCGGGCTTAAGGTTTCGGGCTTGGGGCTTAGCATGTGGTATTTTAGGGATATTGCGGCAGAAAATAAAATGGAAAAGGACGTGGAGTATGACAACTAAACTGAGATGGTATACGGGCTTTGGTTTAAGGGGTTAAGCAGCTATGTTGCGAAACACTATACCCTTAACCTCAACTGGAAACCCTGAACTCTAAACCGTAGTGTTGCCCAGAATGATAACTAAGTTAGATACTAACAATCCTGCACAACCCCAAGTACCTCATACCCTGGGAAAAAATTTGTAAGATACTAGGGACATGGAGGAGCCCAGAATATCAAAGACTGTACGATATTACCCGGACATAATCGGGTTTTCCTTACCTATATACAAGGGGACACAGAACCGCAAGAAAATAGTAGCAATATAAAATGACTATAAGGACCCTGGTAGATGTGTCCCTGTAACCTAGAATTAGAAGCATGGGCTTCGGGGATGGGGGGGGGGCTAGGGTTTGGAAAGTTTAGGGTTTAGGGTTTAGGGCTTACAGTTTGGAATTTAAGGTTTGCTGCTCAAAGCTCAGGATCAGTCTTCAATTTGGAGTTAATGCTGTACCGCCCTCTGGGACGGGTTGGGACTCCTGATGCACCTTTTAGATAGCCTATGAAAGTCCTCAAACCTATGCACATCCATTTATTCTATTTATTTAGGGTTCATAAGCCCTAAACTCTCAACCCTAAACCCATCTCTTTATTTACCGGCTCATGGTTAACAATAGGAATTTGGAGTTTTCGTCACCTCAACTCCACAATTCGGAAGGGCCCTATAACTATCATATGACTTTTATAAGACAGGGACCCTAAACCCTAAACCCTAAACCACGGGCTTAAGGTTTTTGAGCTCGAGCTTTATGACTTCACCATTCAATCTAAATCTGTAACCCTGAGGTCGCAAAACTCAAAGCATAAATTTAAACGCGGTGTAGTGTATAGGGTTTAGGGTGTAAGCCTCCAAAGCACCAGAACGCGACGCAATTGAATAGAACAGTAATCTCGTGCAAGCCCATTAGCCCCTGAACTAACCTGAGAGGAACTCTAAAATCTAAACCCTGACACCTAACGCCTACACCCGCAACCCAAAACCAGGAAAACGCCAAACACCCTGAACCCCACACCCCTAAACCCAACACCCCGATTCCCAAACCCTGCAACTTCCCCAACAAATGGAACCCTACCTGGACCTTCCAATGTTGTTTGTTTTTTGTTTATCAATCATTTTGGGGCTAGGATCGAATCCATAGCAGACCCATCAAAAAAAAGTACTACATTGGAGCGTTCAGATTTCAAACACTAAGCCCTTAACCTCTTAACCGCAAACCAACCCTAAACCCGTAATCCCAAGCCCTTAACGGCAAACCTTGAACCCTAAATCATAAACCCTAAACCCTTAACCATAAGACCTTAACCGCAAACCTTGAACCCTAAATCATAAACCCTAAACCCTAAGACCTTAACCGCAAACCTTGAACCCTAAACCATAAGCCCTAAACCTTAAAACTAAGACCTTAACCCTCTTGACCGCAAACCAAGAGAACTGAAACCGGCCTAGGCGGTGCTGGTGACTTGGATGTCTCGTCCTTGGGGGCCCGCGGCAGGGCCGCAAGCGAAGAAGTGGCCTGGTGCAGGCTGAGGGTTTAGGGCTTAGGGTTTAGGGCTTATAGGGCTTAGGGCTTAGGATTTAGGGTTTGTTTTTTTTGGACTTTCTCTATGGACTTCTGGTGGAACCCAACAATCAGACCCAACATTGATGTACATGCCGTTGACACTAAAACATCCTGTATGGCGGTAGTATACAAACTCCCTGAATTCCCAGGGTAGAAGGTACTTAGGGGCATGCAGCTTGTTAGTATCCGCCGTATATCGTCCACACACACCCCCTGGATAAGTACCGAAGGCTCCCCAAACCGTAGAATCCGATCTAAGGGTACAACTTGAAGATGACTTGATTTAGGGTTCGGGCTTAGGGGCTGCAATGTCTAGCTCAAGGCTTCGTATTTGTGAGGGCGTTGCGTCTGGGGCCTCAGTTGTTTATCACAGTCACAGGGTTCATGGCTTTGGATTTTGTATTTGCGGTTTAAAGCTTAGGGCTTAGTTAGGGCTTCTGGCTTATCCCCACAGCCCACCCCAAACTCTAAACCCCCCAAAACCCTACGAACTTAAACCCTGAACCCTTAGGCAGGGCTTCGGGTTTTGGCTTCGGAATGCAGGGCAATAGGGTGACTTTGATGCTTCCTTTTCGTACTGGTTCTTAGTAGAGGATGAGGGAATATAGAGGGCGTAGGATCAGCGTTCAGGATTTAGGATTCAGCGTATGGAATAAGCGAGCATATTACAAAGGATTAGATTCGCTTATTCCCTATACTAAGAACCGATAAGTTTTTGGCTTAGGGTTTAGGTTACGCGTTTTGAGAACTCCCGGTTCGGTACCCTCGCGCACCCAGGAGGTGAATTCCTCACATAGCACCCCTGAGAGGCTAGACCGCAAACGCTAATCTTTGGAATCCTCTGCTTACTAGTGGCTAGTTCGGGAGAAGGAAAAGTTACTGTGAGGGCGAGGGTTGAGGGTCAGCGGTTTTGGTCTATAAGGTGGATCCAACTTCTGAATCCAATTCGATTACTGAACGGCTATCATGGGGATCCATTCCCCCGACATGTCTTTCGTGCTGCAAAGTGTATAGGAATCATGGTGCAGGGTTAGGGGTTCCGCGGCTTTGGCTGAGTACCTGGTAAGCCGTTGTCGTGCACAAATGTTGCAACCTTTCACTGGTGATGGGCTTCTGAGCAGCTTCTGAAATTACGACAAATTTAGGAGTAAGTAATTCTTCAAAACCAGGTGTGGGTCATCTTTTTCCCAAGGCGGGTTCGGATCACCATGCGCGGGCCAGAGCTAGCTTGTACAAATCGATCGTTCGAAGCGACACCTTGGTTGAGCTGACTTGTCGTGACAACGTCGCCACTCTGTTGATGAAGTCCTCTGGCATCTGGCAGCTGTATGCCAAAGGATTGATCGGGCTTTGGCTCTTCCTGAAATTCGCCTCTAAATCAAACACGACATGGCAAAGCATGTGGAACTTTGGGTTCAGCTTGAACCTTGCAAAGCCTTTGGTGTACGCGATTGTCGCGCATCTTGCATATCCCTGCAGCATTGCAAGCCCACTGGATACAACCGTTTGTAATTCTTTCTTCTTGAGGAAGAGCCCACTTCGATAGAGGGTGCTCATGAATGTGTTGCTGACCTTCAAACAGTCAAGGATTGCCTTGATATAGGGAAAGTTCTCACCCAAATCAAGGTCTCGCAGCAGAAGCTCATACTTGTAGGCCAGGTATTTGACCACAACAGTTGTGTCGGCTCCTTTGAACCAGTGCCTGGGGCTTTAGGGTTTATAGGGTGTTGGGTTTAGGGTTTCGTGGTTATATAGGGCTTATAAGTTTATAAAGGGTTTTGGATTTCGATATTTCATAAACCCCCAACATCCAAAGACATGGTTACAAAGGTTACAGGGCTTATAATGATTGATTTTTCAGACAGGGCGGAAAAATGTGAACAAGTGCAGGGATTGTAGTCAAAGTAGGGGGATAGAGGGCATATAAGTGGTTTCTGGGTATCATTCGAAAAATTTCTCACACGAAATGGTTTATGTTCTGGGGCTGGGATCTCATAAATTCAATGCACCCCACAACCAAGATACCCGCAAGGAAAATCCGCCTGAGAAGGCCATCTCAAGATTGTTTTCGTGAGCCCATTCATGTGCAAGTAGAGATGGTTCTCGATGGCATAATTCTTCAACTCAGCATACAAATGCTGCAAGCATTTCTCAGCGCCAGATTGTTCGCAGCCAGATATCTGCAGATCCAATAGAACAACCTGAGCGCATGAGGTATGATATTTACCATTCAAAAGTTGCTACAACTCACCCTATTCAAAAGCAGGGAATCCTTTCGACATATAATGGCCCAGAACCAAAACAGGTTTGATCATTCGATCACAATTCGAACAAATCAAAGTTGATGCCATGGAATTCCTGGCGCCAGAGCCGAGCCCGCTAGCTCAGCATGAACACCTTTGTGCACCGTATGGAATAGATCAATGTGGAAAAACCTGTTGCCACATCCGGGCTCCATCGGAATAGCTGTCACGAATGCCGGCTCATTGCTAATCCAGGGCAATTTGGCTTCCGGAAGATGCATGGTTTTGACCCATTGGGCAGTTTTGGGGTTGTGTTCGTGCCAACTAGGGCAGGCTTGTGTGTTCGCCAGACAAAGATGACACAGGCCTTCGCCAAAGGGGTATGCTTCCCTTCGAAAATGTCTCTTGATTTGGCCTAACTTATCTAAAGCCGGCCAATCCCCTTTGAGACCCAAAACCATTGCACGGATCTTGCCAAGGCCTGGAACAACTATACCATGGGTGTAGCATTTGCCAATGTCCGCAGCCCACAGACTACAAAGCTCATGTAGTGGAGCAGCATCAGTACTGTACAGATCCTTTGGCATGACGCTGTAGAGCAGCCTCGTTTTGAATGTGTTCCCATGAAAGTTCATTTTCAAGCCGCTTGCCCCTGGATCTGTGGGACCTGCAACATCGCAACCATAGCCAAGCAGAGGTTCAGCGCCAAGAACCATGATGCCGTGTTTTTTATAACCCCGCCCCTCATCAGCTATCAGATAAAAAGGCAAGATTTTGCCCCATTGGTCCACTGGCAAAGAAAATACAGGATGATTCGGCCGTAAGGGTTGCAGTTTTGACCAGAATTCAGCCACAGCAGTTTCGCCTTGATCACCAGTAAGATTCCCCAACTTGCCATTCTGGGCTAGACAACGAATGTAATCACTGAGGTAAATGACCGGGTGCAGCTTCATCAAGCCAACATCCACAGTTGTAACAGGAAGTTGTGCCGCTATCGAAGGATTCGATTCCATAACCTTTCGAGTAACTGCTGCTGCGTGTCCAGTTTTGCCACCCCTGTCCATTTCGCGAAGTAGCTGCCCAGAAGGTAATCTATCCACAGCTTCCTTCCCAAAGGCAGTTTCAACTTCATTGATAATAGCACTGGCCAGTTCAGCCCCCATCTCATTGGACACCTTACATGATTATAGAGATACACGAACAAAACCTCCTAGTACTCACATTTCATATCAAAAGAATTTTGTTGTGGGTAATACAGGTTCGTAACCAATTTAACTCTGGAAACCGACTGGATCAACCTTGCTACCCACTGTTGCCTAAAGGCCCTATACTTTTGCGTAGAAGCCTTGAATTTATTGGGAATGCCCGATGGACTATAACATGCCCAAACCCTAGAAGCCATATACCCTTAAGTTCCCTGAGGCCGGATGGACTTCCGAGCGATTTGTGGCTTCGACCAGAAGGCCACGCTCGCATACTGGGCCCCTGTACAGTAGAAAATCCCGGGTTTACAGAGTTTGGGGTATATATGGTTTTGACCCTTATAGACCCCTAGTGCGATAAACACAGAATCCCATATATAACCATGATCACCTGAAACACCCCAACAACCCTGAGTACATATATAGGTTTCAAGTTTTGCGCCCAGTTACACCCACGGTAAGTGCTTTTGCAAGGCTCTTAGCCAAAGGCCCCCCAGACCCAATAGAAGTGCCACACGGAGCAGCGCTGGATGCTATCGAACTGGTAGACAAGGTACCTGCGCGAGAAGTTCATAATGTTGGAGGTTCGATCAATAAGCTGAACATGTAGGGAAAGCGGAATGCCATCAGTATTTGTCCACAGCAGAACATAGATCGCGGGTCTGCCTAAACCATGCGCATTGCTAGCACATGTTTCCTCGAACACTTGCGACTTGAAGTGCTCTGCATGGTCCAGCCATCCTAATACTACCGTGAGTACATGGTCTTCCGTTGTGGAGTTTTTGGGGGTATATTGTAATATCCATAGATCAGGCTGGTTCACACAAGACTCGAGTGTGGATGCACACTCTAGCAACACAGAGCGTCCCAAAACACTCCGTGGTAGAAGCGAACCTACTTCTTGGGCTTTTTGCCCTTGCCCTTCGCCTTTGGCGCAGCTCTTGGCGCTGCTTTTGGCGCAGCATTAGTCCCTGCCTTCACCAGTTTCCTTCCAGACAGCACTGTCCTTAGATCATGTATAATGGCTACTGCCCAGCAAGCATGGTCATTTTGCACATTGATAGTCTCGATTATTCATGCAAGCGACTTCTTGATTTTGTTCTCTTCCATCAACACCCGGCTCGACCTTAGATGAATAGAAACCCCTAAGACCCATATAAACTCTATAACCGGATATGTACCCTATATTCCATTCTTCCGGGCCACATCTTTGATACCTCAGCCACGAGGCGTTCCATCTGCCTGGGCAGGATCGAGATGTTGGAGGATGGTTTCAGGTATTGGGATTATTTATACTTCATAATTTGAATTAGTGCAGGAGTTTGACGGGGCTTTGGGGATCACATTCGAAATGGGGATCGATCGTGATAGATTTTTGGCTGGCATCTTGCGTGAGGTATGGACCCCATGTGTGAGCATCCATGCCTCTGAACCCAGGGTAACAAGAATAGTTCGTATAGTAGTATAATAGTGCACTATTTCCATGGATAGTTGGGTCTTTGCGGCCAGGTTTCTTGGAATCAATGCTTTCGGCCGAATCATGGGCAGACTTGATGTCTGCAATTTCATCATGCTTGCCGGACAACTCGTCAAGATACTTTCGAATCCTCTCCGTGTCCCTAAGTTTGTCCAAGCCGAGTAGCACTCCCTCAAGAACATAGGATTGCATATTGCATGTTCTACAAGCTGTGTATAAGCTGAGAGGCTTCTCCGGCACCTTTTCCTCCTTGCATCTCTCCAGGAGCTTGTTGACTCGAGACTGCTGCTTCAAGAGTTCGTCGAGGATCTTTGGTACACCATCCATGTCCTCTAGGAAATGGGCTGATGCACAGGGATCACTAGGTGAAAGGGAGGGTATAAGGAATATTTGGGGCAATATTTGGGTCAATGAAACTTAGTTGGACTAGATGGCTTTGGGTTCCTAATAGTGGGATGCGGTGACTGAAATTCGAATCATGGTGTCCTCAGTTGGCAACTCTTCTGCGAAGTCTTTCTTCCCGTGCTTAGCAGACTTACGCCCCTTGGATGCCCTGCGCTTTCGCTTAGGCGACGGGGTAGCCCCACTACCCTCACCATCCTCAGCATCATCAGCAGCATCCTCAGCATCATGATTCTCCGTTTTGCTCGCTGGACTTGCTGTAGCCGATGTCTGATCATCATCATCATCATCATCGGATAGCTCAAGGAGGGCACCAGCATTCTTGCCGGTAGGACGGCCACGTAAACCCAGGGGAACTTTCTTCACGAAAGCATCTCCAAGCTGCGTCTGACGATTGAGCTCCTCCTCCTCGGCCTTGCGCGTCTGGCCCTCGAACTTGACATCCACCCAGAACCACAAGAGGTTCTTCTGGTACTTGTCCTTCCTTAGGTTAGCTAGGTATATGGGTGTGCTAGTAGAGTAAATGTACAATTTTTGAATGCTGCAACATTATGGGGCGCCCACTGGATGTGATCCTTTCGATTCTCCTTTCGGAGACAATACTTTCGGATCGCAGCACGTCTCTCCCTTAGCTGCTCACGTGCATTTTCCATTCGAGGAGGTCAATGGGACACACAGGTGACTGGGAACCTTTATAGGGCTTTAGGGTGATTTGGGGGCGAAGGTTATGTATACACAATATAGGGCCTAGCTGCGGACTGAATTTGAGCTCATCTTTCATCATCTGGTCCGTATAGAACCCGGAAATAACCTTGAATTCGTTGGAGCGGACTTGCTTGAACTGATGAAGCACACGCTGGGTGAATGCATCCTGCACACATTCATGCACGCAGGAGAGGATTGGAGATTATACAATATAGGTTACACCCGGGCATTTTCAATAGGTACTGATGGTGGGGTTATATAGATCTCAAAGGCCAGATTTAGAATGGGAATAGTATGGGTTTCAGGTTTGGGGGGATGGGTTGCATTTGGGCTGCGGCACCTTGTCTCCTTCGCATTCAACGAGAACTTTGACAAGCTGCCGTCGGGAAACGCCCCCCTTGACCCACAATTTATGAATGGACTCGGGAACTTCACGGGATTTCTTCTTGTTCTCTTTGCACATTCTGCGTAGCTTCGCATCATACTTGTTGAAGAGCTGCTGGCTCTGCCTTTTCTCCTAAGTATAGTGATAAGCCAGCCCATGCAAAGCACATGCTGCAACTAGCACACAAACTGTCTATATAGGCCAAGTGGCCGCCAAAGCAAGCAGCTTCCTTCGGCTGGGGGACCGGGAAACTTTCTTGTCTGATCTAGGAGTCCTTGGGCGCTTCGCCTTTGGCGAGGGTGAGGCGGGCTTTGCAGGGCTCAGCTCGGATTTCTCGGTCTCCGTAGGAGAAATTGCACCGGTGTCGTATCGATCCATTTTGGCAACCTGCCAGGACTGATTTGTGTTGAAGGTTTGGGGCCTATGATGCATAGCAGCAATGGGACTGGGGGTCGTAGTATAGTATCATACATGGAGCATATTGATGGGCTTCAGGGCAACCACATGATTCGAGGCCTCCTCGTGATCTGAGTCCTCATAGGCAGCCTGGAGCAGTTCCTGTGCAATGTATTCCAGTGATTGATAAACCCTTATAAATATTACTAATAATATGGGATCCCTATTCGATCGATCCACATTACAGGGATGGGGGTTTATTAATCATGCACAGATATAAGCCCCATGGCTAACCCTAGCATTTCACGAGTGCAAAAATGCGTTTTGCGCGGCCTTCAATTTCCCCTCAGTCTTTGGTGTTGAAGGCTGGTCTAGAAGAAATTTTGCAAAGTAGTTCCGCATCTCCGGCTCTTCAGGGGTTTTGTGAGGGGACTCCTTCAGCGACTTCATGAAGGGAAGGCTTTCAGGGGCATCTAGGATAACATCATCGAAGTTTATAGATCTCGGCCGATTCGGCGATACCACATCCACATTTGAAGCTGTGCCACGCAGCATCAAAGATGACCTCGTGTTCTCCTTCACAAAGGGGTTTTGAGCATCCTCTTTGTTCGGGTCATAGTAGTACGGGTCCAGAGGAACCCCAAAACTGGCTGCAGCACTGGGGCCAACTGGGAACTTCTCAGGGGATGTGTCACCGCCCACACCATTGATCTGGGATGCTTCCGCTGATGGGTTAGCCTGCTTCGGTGAGGACTGCAAGGGGATCTCTCCAGGGGATGGCTCATGTGGTTCGGGAACCTGCTTCGGTGAGGACTGCAAATCTAGGGCATTCAGCTTCTCTGGCTCATCAGGGACGGGTGCATCCAATACCTGGGTTGGCGCAGACTGCAAGGCGATCTCTTCAGGGGATGGCTCCAGGGGTTTGGGAACCTGGTTCGGGCTGGGCCGCACTGGGTCCTTAGGGATTTCGGAAGTTTCAGCAACAGCTGGCGCAGGCAAAGCCAGCAAAGCTGCGGGCTTCACAGCGTTGTTGGGAGAGGCCTGGCTGCCCCTAGGCTCTGCATCAGGATTTCCCTCTAGAACCAACTTCTTGGAACTCTTAGCTTTTCGGGGGCGACGCTTGCGAGGGCTGGGCTTTGGCTCTGGAACAGAATCAGACGCTGCTGCAGCATCATCAATCTGGGTATCTTCAGCTAACTTCTGAGCTTGCACAGCGGCTTGTAGAGCTAAAAGTTGCTCCTGCGCATCCTGTGGAAAGGGGCTTATGTTTAGGATAGGGCAATGGGTTTAATATTATTCACAGTATGGATTTTAGGATCAGGGCTTAAAATTATTGATTGTAATGGTTGGTAACATGGTCCTTCAGCTGCTGCTCCAGATCCTTGGGTTCAGCCTTCACCTTTTCCACATACGATTGCCCCCTGTACAAAGTATCAGCGCTGTGAAGGCGCTTGGCTTTTGGTTTGCCCTTGGCCATTGCTATGCAAGCCAAGACCTTTGCGCAGTCCCTCAGGGTCCTAGCGTAGCCACAACAGCCAGGCCAGAGCGCCAGGTGATTTTTTCCAACCAACACCGTCAACAAGCAGATCAAAAACGCTTTTTTCGGAAGCAAACAGCGGCCTACGTTTTTTACGCCACTACTACGGCTTTTTACGCCACTTCTACGGCTTTTTACGCCACTGGATTTTTGAGCATTTCTCGAAGAAACGCATGCCAAGCCCGCACTGCTGTACAAGCTAGCAATGAGCCCCAGCCATCAAAACGTAAAGGCCCACTCCGAAGGCAAGTTGCAGCGCCGATTGGTCTGCAAAAAAGTAAGAACCTCATGCATTTCCGCATCAGCCCACATATCTTCAAGCATGCCCGCTCGGATCTCTGCAGGCTCCAGCTGGCCGGGATCCTGGGACAAGGCCAGGCTTTGGTGTTTGGGTCCAAAGCTCATGCAAATCCTTTGGATCATGGCCTTTCGATGATGAGGGGTGGTGATTGCAGCCTGCAGCTTCTTGAAAATCCTGGCATACTTGGCCCCAAATCCAGAAGGGTAGCTCCTTACATGTTGAAAAGCTGCATGAGCATCAGGGGCAGTGCATGATCTAAAAAACCCTTTGCAAGCAAGATGCTGGGACTGTTTCAGGGCAGTCTTATTGCCAGTGTAGCCACGACCATCACCAGATTGTCGCGCCAGACGTACAGGAAGACGCTCAAGATCCTTTTTCGTAAGCTTATCCGTGCGGAACCGCTTCACTCCCTTGGTATTCCCCCAGAGGACAGTTCTTTTAGGAGATGGAGATCTGTATTTGCACATCCAGAACGACGCCCTGAATATGGGCAGCAGCCTGCAAAGGTCTTGGAATCGCGGGTGGCGATAAAGGATAGAAGTGGATGGCTGCTCGATCACGAAAACACATTGCATCGCCACTATCAAATATATGGCCAAGCATGCCCTAAGATGATTGACAGATGTGCATGCCTAACACTTGCTGATCTTATACATTGACTTCGGAATCCTTGCAAATAAGTAGCCGGGCCACCATCTTGTTTCCGCTCTTCACAAATCCACAGTCTTCAAAACCTAGCGGAGCTAAGAAGCTCCTCCCAGAGCTGCCTTTGCAGATAGCAATCCAACTGCTGCAAACGATGCCCATGTGGAACAAACAGCCAGGTCGGGAATTGAGGATCGTTTGAATAATCAGCCTTGAATGCATGGGCGGTACACAGACACAATATAATGAACACACTCACAGTCTCACATGACATGACCATGCTGATTCGAACCGAGATTCGCATACCCTGCACTGCCATTTATGTCCATGGGATTACCATCACACATTCGCCGCCCTTCTTGAAGTCTGCGCTGCTTGTACTCTGCCCAGTACAGGATATCAAGCCCAATGGCAGAGTAGCCACAATCACGTAGAGATTTGGTAATCGTTTGCACTCCGGCAAAAAGCTCCACTGCGTCCCACTTCTGACAGGCTAATACAGTCATGACTCTTTGACATGCCCTTAAGCACAACAATTATAATCTGTTGCCCCTAGATCCTGTCCTCAGCCCATTCCAGTCCATCAGTGAAGTGGAGCAAGATGATAAGGTAGATCAGAACCTCAGGCAGCAAGGGTAGGGGTTGGAAGTTCGCAGGCGGCGAGTTGAAATCTGGAAACGCTAGATTTGTCTATCAGCCCCTGTACAGAAAGCCCGCACGCTACCAAACGCCACATGCGAAACTTAATTATGGCCATCCATACGTACAAATGGTAGCCATAAACATGTGTAATCTTTTCGAATCCGAAGTCCTTCAACCCTAGCCTTGGATCAACAGAACCTAACCTGAAAAGAGGGGGCATGCGAATGATGACCTTTTATGGGGGTTGCTTTTTGGAAACGCCGTGAAATCTTTACATGGTTCATTTTGCTAAGTATATCACTCGCAACTATATAGAGTGGGATTGAAGAAGAATCAGTGCGAGAAACGCAGGGGGCAGAAATTGCCTGAAGCTCTGTCAACACTCTCCGCAGTCGCTCTGCAGGCAGCGGCATGGTTTGATGGGCAAGATCAACAAGGCTGGCAATTAAATTGAGCCCACTGTGTCAGCATGACAATCGAGATGCAGCTCTGACTGCAGCACTGCGAACACATGCACACACGGGGGCACGCTTCAGCTTTCCCTTGAGAAGCTTCCGCATGGACTCGATGATGCGCCTGGCATTCAAGCGCGCTAAAAACCCCATCACCTAATAAATACAAAGGCATGCTCAAAGGACTCCGAATCTCTTTCCCCACGGTCAGGCATTGCAAGCACATCCGCGGGAACATGTACGGAAATCGCAGTGGTCCCAGAACCACAGCCCTCGCTCTTGGATCCTATAGTGTTATGTATAGGGGGTCCATATACCTTAATGGGCTAAAGGGTTCGGGGTTTCAGATGGTTTTTTGCGGCAGCTACTATAGATTATAAATCTTATAGGCAAGTTGGGCCCAGATTAGAGAGCAACCCCGGAGTGGTGATCGTCTTGAGCTAGGGGACCACAAGGCCAGTACCCTGCAGTAAACAGTGAATCCGGGCACCCAAGTAGATTGCATGACCCATCGGTGCACCAGCTGATTCTCAGCTGCTAAGGGCAGGTCACCTAGGAATTGAAATAGGCCGCCAATCCCTGAACCTCCGATTCGATTCTGGAAGTTTAGCTAGAGCAAATATACAGGATCCCATGGGTGTTTTCTCGAACCTGAAGAATCTAAATCACTTTGCCTCAGGGCGTGGCGTCCTGCACTTGTAGCCAGGTCTTCTACAAATATGGCAGCCCCCTTGGGACCACCTGCAAGTAGGACAACCTAGCCTGGGGTTCTCATTTGGGGCCTCAGACTTAGCCTTAGCAGCCCCAGATTTGCCAGGCTTTGAGCCACCGCTTGGATTCATCGTTGTTGCTGCTTTGCCTTTGCCTCGTCCCCGCCCTCCGCCATTACCGTTGTTCTTGCCATTGTTCTTGCAGCCTCTGCCGCCGCCTTTACCTCTGCCACGACCCTTGGCAGCCTTAACTGCATCCTTTTGCTTCGTCCTCAATGTCATCTGCGATGCTGGGTCAATTGTCTGCTCCTCACTCGGGCCATCCTGCTTGGAGGGCTCATGGTGGTTTCTCGTGTTATTTACCACAACCCTGTATAGACCCTGCTTTTGGTGCCCCGGATTGCCTTCAGATCTAGCTTGGCCTTCTTAGAGGAGTTGATATTCAGCTGGCCAAGGGCTTCGTCAATGTCATATGGGCATGTGTCAGCCTGGAGAGGATGTGCCCAAACTCAAACAATGGAGATTAAGGGGTCTATGAATCCAAGATTCCGCATCAGGTGATATGCTCATTGAGGATCGCTTTGCGCTAGCGGATGAGGCGGGGCTTGAACCTGGGATGGGGCGATGTAGTGGGGGAGGTTCTCTTATAGGCTTTGGGTTTGGGGATATAGGGGCGCTAAATCTGATACACGATGCACGTGATACAGCACTATTGCGATGATCTTGCGAGGTTTTCGCATCTATGATACCGTCATTGCAGGGTTCAGCATTGTGCCTCATGCAAGGGGCAATACGAAAATCACTAGCTCCGATTATACCTTATTCCACCCAAAAAGCTATGTCTGACAGACCCCCCTTTTGGGCCCCAAAAGTAGAACCTGTCAAACCCTATGTTTGGGCCCCAAGTTGCAACGTCCTCTATAGAAAGATCATATATGTAAGCTATAGCTCTATGGAACCCCCGCATCCTTCCGTACCGCTCCGGGGCAGAGCCGCTTGCACCTCAACTTGTTTCCCGAAGTTTCTTAATTGGGTAACCAAGTTTGTACACTTGTAAGAATAGTGATGATCCCTCAAGCATTGAAAAATAGGACCCCAAGACCCCAAGCCCACTACACTCCTGCCAGGATAGAAGAACATCCCCAGCATTTTTTAGGATCCCCCAGCTGTACCCACATTTGAACTCATATAGCCCTATTGAACCTGAACTCCTTGAATTAGTGTATAGATCCAAGTATCCCTTGGAAGCATCTGGCGACCCGGACCTGATTTCGCAACTTATACCCCCGAAGAACGGTAAATTTGCAGCGGAAGGATTCATAACTAAGGATGCTACTTCTTTAGCTTCAAAGCCTTGATCTTATCCAGAACCGCTTTCAAATCTTCCCGCATCTTCACCGCTCTGGCACTCTCGGTCATGCCCATGAAGAGCACATCATCTTTCTCTGGGGACGTTTTCCCTTTGCGTCTTGTCGTAGGGAAGGGGCTTCTAGGACCGGAAGAGGTTGCGGATGACATCTTCTTCTGATGGGGGACCTCCTTTGGGGCTAAAATCTCAGGCTCATCCGCATCTACCTCCTCGTCGTTCTCTACTTCCTCTTCTTCGCCTTGTTCCTCATTCTCCTCCATCTCCTCATCATCTTCCTCCTCCATGGGTTTGCTGTTGGCCTTCTCAAACTTTTCTTTGCATGCTCCTTTTTGAGTACTTTGTTTGGAGGGGCTACATCTCGAATGTGCCGAATGAGCTCGAACAGCTTCTGCACTTTCTTATCCTTGGACACAACCCTTTATGTCGCAGGACCGAACAACTAACAATACAAGAAACGGCGCTGCACAAACCTGCATAATTATTCTAAGGTTCCGTTGGGACCTGTCCCCTCTTGGCACAGTCAGCTTGACGGCGGTGAGCGTAGCTATACAGCTTACGAAGGCCCCAAGCATCACTGTATACCCTGTTGCTCGAAGTCTCCCAGCTCATGGAATCATAGAACTTCTCGACCTAGAATGTGCTAGCATTGTAATTTGTTCAGCACACACAAAAGCTTTCAGGTTTAAATATTCCAACCAAGAAACCATGGACATGAGGGGCTTGATGGGGACAGTATCCAGATTTTGAAGGAGCTCAAACATGCAGTAGACCATGGGGCAATTGTACTCCAAAGACTGCTTGTTGGGCTCACCCTCATCCGA